ACAGCCTCGACCTGCTGGGCTCCAAGTAACTGTAATTACAGGCACGCGCTACCACGCCCGGATAATTTTTGATTTATTGTAGAGGCGAGGTCTTGCCAAGTTACCCAGGTGGCTCTTGAACCTGTGGGCTCAGGCAGTCCTCTTGACTCGGCCTCCCAAAGTGCTGGGATTACAGGCTGAGACGCCGAGCCCGGCCTATAATGGCTTATCTTATCCCTCTGACAATATTACTTACCCTTTCCCTAGAAATATTTTTCAGTATTTTTCTGTTCTTTCATTGTTCCTGTTTTCTGTATATTCTTTTCTCTCTGATTTGGTCTCTTTCTCTCTTATCTTGGAGGCCTTTACTAAAATGTCTGTTGATCTTTTGATTTTTTTTCTGTACTTAAAGTGAAGTACTAAAAAGCTGTTTAGAAGATCTGTGTGCAGGTCAGACACGATGGCTCATGCCTATAATCCCAGCACTTTGGGAAGCTGAAGCGGAGGATTGTTTGAGTTCAGGAGTTCGAGACCAGCCTGGGCAAAATAGTGAGACCGTATCCCTACAAAAAAATAAAAATAAATTTTAAGAAGATCTGTGTACATGGGCAGGGTTTGTGGATTGGGGCACCTCACAATAGAATGATGGGGGAGTAAGCTAACCTTTTCTTTTCTATATTTATTTCATTTTATTTTTATTTTTTGAGTTAGAGTCTCACTCTGTCGCCCAGACTGGAGTGCAGTGGCTGCTCCTGGCCACCGCAGCCTCGACCTGCTGTGCTCTGGTGATCCTTCCGCCTCAACCTTCCAAGTAGCCGGAACTACAGGCACATGCTACCACGCCCGGCTGATTTTTGATTTATTGTGGAGATGAGGTCACGCCAAGTTGCCCAGGCGGGTCTCGAACCCGCGGGCTCAGGCAATCCACTCACCTCGGCCTGGGCAACTTGGCGAGCAGCTATGTGATACAAGAGAATTGGGGGTCTCACTCTTTAGGATGTAGGTGTTCATTTAATTCCCTTGCTTCAAATTCCATCCCCCCACTCTTTGCTGTGCCTGATGTGGGCATTTTCTAGTTTGATTTCTTCAGAGGAAAGCACCCTTGGGAGGGGGTTGTTACTTGGCTGCATGGACAGAGAAAAGGATCTTGGCATACAGCACAGGTAGACTTGCCATCGCCTCCCTCCTGGTACTTTATGCCTTTATGAGATTTGGTTCTTCTGGTGCTGACCTGTGCTGGCATCTACCAGAGTTAATTGGGTTGCTCTTTATCAGTACCCTCTCTATAGGCCTAGAGTTCATCCTCCTTTGCTCTGCTCAGTCTGTCACCTCTGTCACCTTTCCATCTTCCAGGTCTTGTTTTTACTTTTCCTCTCTCATTCTCTTTGTGTTCTTGGATTTTTTTCTGGTTAATCTCTTTTCTGTCTTCTCAGTGGGTTTTCAGGAGAGACATGTGGTCAATGTGCAACATTTAGCCAATGACGTTGTTGCTAGCCAAGGGCCCTGTCTTAGAAATACCACAGCTATTATTGCCTCTTCCCTCTCTCCCCCTCTCGCTGTCTTTTTTTTTTTTTTTTTTTTTTTTTTTTTGAGTTGGAGTCTCACTCTGTCGCCCAGGCCGGAGTGCAGTGGCACGGTTACATCCACTACAGCCTCGACCTGCTGGGCTCAGGCAATCCTTCTCCCTCAGCCTTCCAAGTAGCTGGAGTTACAGGCACACACCACCATGCCCAATTAATTTTTTGATTTATTGTAGAGATGAGGTCTCACCACGTTTCCCAGGCTGGTCTCGAACCTGAGAGCTCAGGCCATCCTCTCACCTCGGCCTCCCAAAGTGCTGGGATTACAGGCATGAGCCACCACACCCGGCTCTCCTCGCTGTCTTTACCTTGGTGAAGACCCTCGCCAACTTGCACCTGGACTCTTGCCGAGTCTCCAAACCAGTCTCCTGCCTCCAGACTCTCCCTCATCCCATGCTGCCCACTGAATGATCTTTCTAGAATAAAGCTTTCATTGTATCTCTCTTTAAAACCTTTGCCAAGATCTAATCCTTCCCATCTAAAGTCCTAGATCCTAGCCGGGCTCGGTGTCTCAGCCTGCAATCCCAGCGCTTTGGGAGGCTAAGATGAGGGGATTGCCTGAGCCGGCGGGTTCGAGACCCACCTGGGCAACTTGGCGAGACCTCATCTCTACAATAAATCAAAAAATCAGCCGGGTGTGATAGCGCATGCCTGTAATTCTGTCTAGTCAGAAGGTTGAGGCGGAAGGATCGCCGGAACCCAGCGGGTCGAGGCTGCGATGGGCGGGAGCGGCCACTGCACTCCAGCCTGGGCAACAGAATGAGACTCCAACTAAAAAAAAAAAAAAATTAATGTGGGGCTGTATTTTATGCCCTATATACACACGAGTTCCTTGTTTATCACAGCTGTGCAAGAGAGATATTTCTGACTATCACAGACATCATCAAAGACACAAAGGATCTGATTAAATAGAAATAGAAAACATTTGTACAACACAGTGTCACAGAAGGAAACAATTATTCTGACAAACACAACTGATAAAAGCATACCTTCCAAAGCATATTATTTTTAAAAACAGGAAGGTCAAAATCCAGATTTTACTAAAAAGAGGTTAGGAAAGGATGAATATACAGTTTACATTTGAAAAATGATGGGCAGGGTCTGTCCCATCCCATGCCCAGACTCAATTATGTCCATTCAACAGATGAACTTCTGTTGTTAAGTGTTATATATTATTAGTAGCTAAAAATAGCCAGCATTTATTGAACATGTCCTGTGTTCCTGGCCCTAAGATAAGCACTTAGTGTGGATTATTTCACTGAAGTCCAAAGTTAACCAGTGTTATATCTTTTTACAGATGATAAAATGGAGGCTTAGAGAAATTAAACACTTGCTCAGGATATGAGACAGTTAGAATTTGAACCCAGGTCTGTCTGACTGTAGAACCTGTGCTCTTTACCACTATGCAATGTATATGCTGCTGGCTGTTATCTGTTGTGAACTAGGCCATGGTGTTGCTTAAATGAACACAAATTAAGCCACCTTTAAGGTATCATTGTGTATCTATTAGGTTATAAAAATTTAAATAAAAAATAGTAGATCATAATTACTCATATGTACACATTGCTGGAGACAGCATCAATTAATTAATTCTTCCTGGATCTGTTGATTAAAGTCGTTTTGTTTTTTTTTTTTTTTAAATCAAATGGGAAATTTGGGAGTATTATTTCTTTCAGTATTTTTTTCTGCCTTTTTTTTTTTTTAATCAGATCAGACTCTGTTGCCCAGGGTGGAGTGCAGTGGCATGATCACAGCTCACCGTACTCTCAACCTCCTGGGCTCAGGTGATCCTTCTGCCTCAGCCTCCTGAGTAGCTGGGACTACAGGCACATGCCACCACGCCTGGCTAATACTTTTATTTTTGTAGAGATGAGGTCTCAGTATGTTGCCCAGGCTGGTCTCAAACTCCTGGACTCAAGCAATCCTCTCACCTCAGCCTCCCAAAGCACTGGGATTACAGGTGTGCGCCATCATGCCTGACACAGCCCTTTCTATTTCTCCTGTCCCTATGGGACTCCTATTACCCACTTGGTACACTTGACATTGTCCCACAGGTTTCTGAGGCTCTCTTTTTTTTCTTTCGCCTTTTCTGCTCTGTCCTTCACGTTCGATAATTTCTGTCTTCAAGTTCATTGATTCTTTCTTCTGCCATCTCAGATCTGCTGTTGAGCCTATCATTTTCATTTCTGTCATTGTGCTTTTTAACTGTAGAATTTTCATTTTGTTCTTTTTTAAATAGTTTTTGAATAGTTTGTATTTCTCTATTTTTCCTATTTTTAAAGTCATTGTCATACTATTTCCTTATTATTGACCTTATATTTTTCTTTAATTCTTGGAACATATTTATAATAGCTGCTTTGAAGTCTACTTAGTTTTTTTTTGACTGATTTTTTTTTCTTCCTGAAAATGGGTCACAGTTTCCTGTTTCTTTGCAAGTCTTCTTATTTTTGGTTGAAAACTGGACAGTTTGGATAAAAGCATAGCAACTCTTGATGCTGATGTATATTTCTGAGTTTTTGTTTATTTTGTTTATTTTAGAAAATTGCCTGGATTTTAACTGTGGATTCTGTCTCCCTGTGGTGTTGTATGTCTTTGGTCAGCTTTTTTATTTTTATCTTTTTTTTTTTTAGCCTGGCTTTCTAGGAGGTTACCCCTGTGTCTGCATAGCCCATAAGGCCTCTGCTCTGTATGTGGCTTGTGGGGCTTGGGATCCGTGTGTCGCTTGGGAAGAACAATCAAGGTTGCAGCCAGTTAGCTCTCCAGTCTCAGTCTCCCCTGGCTTTTACTTTTTTGCCAGCCTTTCTCAGGTCTTCCCAGGCAGGGGCATAGGTTTCTTGTCATCCAGGGAATGGTGAGAAGGTTAGCTAGTCTCTCTATGGCTCTTTCATCTCCAGGGTCTGTCCCATTCCATTTCTGCTGGTCTGCCGCTCACCCTAGCTGGGTCTGTACCCTCAGGTCAGCAAAGCTGAGGATCTTCCCTATTCATCTTCCTCCTGTGCTCACCGAACTTCACTTATAAAGCCACAATAAGTTTGCTCTGCTGGTAGCTGCTGATTTCTGACCAGCCCCTCCTGGTAAGAACCGAGGTGGGATGGAAGCAACCCAGGCAAGAAGGCCACAAACTCTCACTGTTCTTTCCCTCAGCTCCAGCAGTTTTTGAAAAATAAAAACACTTCTCAACTTACTGTCTCCTTTTGGTACATTTCTGGAGCTCCAAAGTGACTGTTTTTGACTATTTAATCTAATTTTATACTTGTTTTTTGTGGAGAAGATTCACTGGCCTCTTCACACTGCCATAGCTTGGACGTCCCTCTGGTTCATTCTTTCTGGAGAATGACCTTTCAAAGTATAACAAGAAATATAAAACTATTTTAATTATCCTAATTTAGTAAATCTACTTGGGGGAATTTCATATCAAAGGAACAACCCAAAACCAAACAGCAAACCAAAAAATGTATGCAAGATTGTCATAGCTTCATTGTTTGTGCTACTGGTAAATTAGAAATGTATGTTCAGCATTTGGGAAGTAGTTAAGCAACTTGTAGTATCAGCATGATAAAATACCACATGGACTTGAAACATGATTCTGTGTGGACTGTGGCAATACACATTCTTGGTCTGTGCATGCTAGATTAGAACTATGTGTCAGCCAGGCTTGGTGGCTCAGCCTGTAATCTCACGCTTTGGGAGGCTGAGGTGAGTGGATTGCCTGAGCCCGCAGGTTCGAGACCCGCCTAGGCAACTCGGCGAGACCTCATCTCTACAATAAATCAAAAATGAGCCGGGCATGGTAGCGGGTGCCTGTAGTTCCAGCTACTTGGAAGGCTGAGGTGGAAGATCGCCAGAGCCCAGCAGGTCGAGGCTGCAGTGGCCGGGAGCGGCCACTGTACTCCAGTCTGGGTGACAGAGTGAGACTCCAACTCCAAAAAAAAAAAAAAAAAAAAAGAACTATGTTATTTATTTGATAAAGGCATGAAGAGGATTTTCAGAGAGGGTTTAATGTTCATTTTAAGTAATTTCTATAAAATTACTTAAATTCATGATTTAAAAAATTGACATAATTGGTTCTTCCCCCTTCATGCTTGAAATGTTTATATCTGCATGAGTTTTGTGAACATAGAACTTGTCAGATATATCACTAGATTTTAAAAGTCAATTTAATATTATATGTTATTTTATTATTTTTTATATTATTAACATGCATGCTGCAAGATTTTGTTTGTTTTAAGACTAGACTTCCCAGTTATTACTCTCTAGTATTTCTAGCATGAGACATTGTCCCACCTAAGTTTGTAAGACTTGTATCTTCCAGCAAAATTCTAGACAAGAGAAAAAAATTCCTTTAGTCACTCTGGGAAGGTTTGGAAACTATGCTATTCAGAAGTATGAATAATGATCTTCTATCGTCATACCTATTCAACGTCACTGAACGTCCTTGCACAAATTCTCCCTTACATTGCTGATGTATAAAAACTGCATTGTGCTGGAAGGCAAACCTCTTCCTACTACTTTTCCTCAAGTTCCTCAAAATACACACACACACACACACACACACACACACACACACACACGCAGTTCCCTTTGGGTTCGGTATAATTGAGGTTGTACAAGATCAAGTGTTGTGAAAAGGTGAACTTAATATTTGACAAATCTCAGAGAGGCAAAAATATAAGTTTTTAACCAATATAATATAAGTTTTAACCAATAGTGTTCCTTCTTAATAACCAAGGGGCCTGTGATTGGAAAAAAACGAATCATGAAATGGGCTTGTTAAAATCATACAATTTAATTAATGGCAATCATACTAGAATTTCCCCTTTTTGGAAAAAAAATTAAAGAGCCATCCATTCAAATCAGTTATACATCTTAGCAGACTTTCTTTTAATCCACAATTAATGAGACTTTTATGGAGCACTTCCTATATACACATAAACTTCTAAATGCCTGGTGCTTCACATCTTGCCCTCCGGGTATAGATGTACAAAAAGATGAGAATAATAGTCGGAAGCACATGATGAAGACAAATAGATGTTGAGAGGATGAAAGCTTCTCAAGGGGAAGGATGGTTTGTTCATTTGTTCAACCACATGTTTGGAACCACATGGAATCCTACATTCCAGGCACTAAGTGCTGTGGAAACATCCTGGATAGACATAGGTGTTTGCTGTCATAGAACTTACATTATACTAGGAGCAGATCCATAATAAACAAGCAAATATATATTCTGATGCCAATAAGTGTTACGTATTATAAAGCATAAGAAAGCAGGGTAATTAGATAGAGAACAGGGCAGGGAGGAAGGTGCACCTTTTCAGACGGGTTCATCAGGAAGGTCTTGCTGGGTAGAGAAATTTGAATGGAGAACTGAATTGTATGAAACTGTGAGCCATGCAGGGAGGTGAAAGAAGAGTCCAGGTAGAGGGGATGGCATATATGAAGGTCCAGGCGGAAAAATGGACTGGCAAGTTCTAAGAACAGTACAGGCCCAGCAGTGACTGGGGAGCAGTGAGCCAAGGGGGAGAGGTGGAAAAGGGGTCCAGTGAGAAAAGTGGGGGATAGTGCCATGTAGGGCCAGACAAGTCATTGTGAGTGTGATAGAAGGCTCTGAAGGTTCTAGCTAGGGTTGAGATGTGGTCGGAGGCTTTAAGAAGATCACTGACTTTTAGAGAAATGAATTGTATAGAGGTAAGTGAGGGAGCCAAGGCCAATTTGGAGGCATATTAATTATAGTAGGCTAAACTCTATAACAAGTAGCCAAAGATGTAGTGGCTCAAATGCAATAGAAATATATTTCTCACTTGCATAAACAGTCCAGGAAGGGTGTTCCAACTCAGCAAGAAGCTCTCTTCCTTGTATTGATTCAAGGAGCCAGGCTCCTTCCATTTGCATGACTTCATCATCTCTTAGGACCTTGTCACATGCAAAGTCAAGACTGAGTTACCAGATTTCAGGCAAAGGAAGGAGAAAGCCCACAGAGAAGAGACTCACATTCTCTAAAAGGCCCAGATGTGGCACCCCGTCACTTGTGTTCACATTCTGTTGGTGAGAACTTGATCACATGACCACACCTGACTGCGAAAAATTCTGGGAGTGTACTATAGCTGCCGTCTCTACCCCAGGACCCACAGCAGTAACTAGATGAAAGTACCCCAGAATGGAAGAGGATGAGAGCAATGGAGGTGGTAAGCAGTGATCATATTCAGAATATGTTTTGATGGTAGACTCAATAGGATTTACTGGTGGAACAGACGTAGCTGAGAGAGAAAGAGAGAGATTGAGAAAGAGAGAGAGAGAGATCAGGATGAATCTTAGTTGTTTACATAAATGGCAGTGACAGTTACTCAGATGAAGAAGACTTGGAGAGAACAGATTTCTGTTTTAACTATGTTAAGTTTGAAGTGCTTATTAGCCCTCTAAGGGGAGATATTGAGAAGACAATGAGGTATTTACAGTTTAACTTCATGGGAGTGGTCAAGGATGAGGTAAACCAGAATCATCAGTACATTAGAAGTCTTAAGCCAGGCGCAGTGGCTCAAACCAGTAATGACAGCACTTTGGGAGGCTGAGGTGAGAGGATTGCCTGAGTCCAGGGGTTCAAGACCAGCCTGGGCAACTTGGTGAGACCTCATCTCTACAATAAACCAAAAAATTAGCTGAGCGTGCTGGTGCATGCCTGTAGTTCCAGTTACTTGGAAGACTGAGGCAGAAGGATCGCCTGATCCCAGCAGGTCGAGGCTTTGGTGAATGTGAGCATGCCACTGCAATCCAGCCTGGGTGCCAGAGTGAGACCCAAACTAAAAAAACAAAAAGAAGTCCTAAAGCCAGAAGACCAGATGAGATCTCTTAGGAGTGAGTATAAATGGAAAAAAGAAGGGTACTGAGGACTGACTGTTGGGATACTCCACTGCATTTGGGTTAGAAGGAGGAGGCGAGCCAGCAAAAGGAGACTGAGAAAGATTGGGCAGTGAGATAAAGGAAGAATCAGGAGAGTGAGGCATCTGAGAGAAGAAAGTGTATCAGGAAAGAGGAAGTGATCACGTGTGTCAGATGTTATCTGAAAGGTCAAGTGGAAGGAGGACGAAGAATTGACCATCAAATTTGGAAATATTTGAATCACTGGCAACTTCAATAGGAGTTATTTTAGTGGAAGGGTATATACAATCTTAAGAGTGAGTTGAAGAAATAATGGGACATAGAGACAGCGTAGACCATTCTTTTGAGTAGCTTTGCTACAAGGGAGACAAAGAAATAGAACAATAATTAGAGAGCGTCTAGGAGGAGTAGTGTCTAGAGAGTATGTAGGAGGAAGAAATGACACAGTGTATTTGTATTTGATAGGAACGATTCAGCAGGGGACAGAAAAATTGATGATGTGAAAGCAAAGTCCTTGAACAGGCCAGAGGGGATGGAATCCAGGGCACATGTGGGGGAATGGGCCTTAGCTTGGAGCAGGCACCATCCCTCCACTGTAAAGGGAGGGAAGGCCCGATAGAGGGTACAGATGCAAATGAGTTGGCAGATTCGGTGACGAAGGTTCTCTTTGGAGAGGAGCAGCTGCAAATTTGTTATGTCAGAGAGTGGGAGAATGAGTTGCCTAGGTATGAGGCTGCTGAGAATACTGAAATGTGGAGGCACATGTACGCTCGAGGGAGCTCTGGTGGGCTTGGGCCATGGAAAAGTAGGGTGGTGAAAACAGGAGGCAGGTGATGGAAAGCAGAAACATACTAGTGCAAATTATCTAAAAGTCCCTCTGTAGACTAAGAATCGTTGGAATGAGGAACAGCAGAGCAAATGAACTCAATTTTGTTTTTTAAAAGAAGATTATGGGCTGAGAGTACATTGTTTAAAACATAATTTAGGAGGTGTAAGTATACTGATAATGACACCCTTCAAGCGTGGCTAAGTTGAGGTGAATGAAAGAAAAGATTGTTGGAGTGAGGATTTCAAAGAACCAAGAGAGCAGGTCATTGGGTGAGTTGTTTATGTAAAAGTCACCATGTTGTCACCAGGAATGATGATGGGGTGGTAAGAGAGAGGGAGATGGTGAACCATAGGGTGAAATCTTTAACAAGAGAATGTAGAATGGTAAGTGGGCAAAGGACTATAATGATAAAGGGTAGAGTGTGAAATAGTCCTGTCCTTCCAAGGGGATAGGTCATAAAGCCACAGTGACCAGAGAGTGTGGAAGACTTGGTCTAGGAATACCCCCACTACATGCCAATCCCTAGGTTTAAGACAGATGTGGACCCTGCCCCCAGGAAGCATATAATTCAGTGGGTATAGAAGAAACATGTACTTAAGTGTACAACTACAAATAATGGCAAGTGCTATGAAGGAAAGGAAACAGATCATAAGCAAATAATAATGGTATGAGGGAATAAATGGAGATTTTGTCATGGAACTGATTTCTGTGAGGAAATGATAGCTGAGCTGAGACCTGAGGAATAAATGAGAATTTGACAAGCAAAGGGCTTGGGATCCATGAGAAGTGGATCCCAGCTAGATTCCAGGGACCCACACTAGGTGTGGTTTCAGTAGGGAAGAACACTGGTGTATGAGACAGGATTTGGACACATAGTGAAGAGAGAAGGGCTGGGCAGAGGAGATGGCACCGTCAGGGCAGTCGGCTGAAGCAGAAGTATGTTGGAGAATACAGAGAGGGCTAGTTAGAGAGCTAGCAATTTCCTGAGTTACACACTGGAGACTGAGAACGTCTGAAGGTTTAGAATCAAAATGAAGCATAAACATACAGCAAAGTGAATCCGACATATCATTTGTTCAAATCACTGTTGTGGTGTTCATAGTGATTAGGCCATATTGTGAAACAGTCTATGCATTTTCATGGTTAAATTGAGCGTTTCAGGAACCAGCTGTAAACGAGGAAGGCAGAGCTGAACAGAACATGGCACAGCTCTGAAAAGCTCCAATGTGCCTGAAACCCATGGAGGACAAGGCAGGACCATGCATTCGTTTATGGCCAGACTGGCTTTACCCTCAGCCACCTCAACTTCCAGAGGAAGGAGTGAGTCGGAGGAGTTATTCTCCCTCCATCTCTCTTCTTCATCAGTTTCCAGTCTATACCTGCAACTGGGCTCACCTGAGTTCACCTTCAGAGTCAGAGCGTAGCAAAGACCACCCCTCATTATATAAAAGCTCATGTGGGTCAGGTGCAGTGGCTCACACTTGTAATCCCAGCACTTTGGGAGGCCGAGGCGGGAGGATTGCTTGAACCCAGGAGTTCGAGACTAACCTAGGCAACATAGCGAGACCTCATCCCTACAAAAAGTCAAAAAATTAGCTGGACATGATGCCATGTACCTGTAGTCCCAGCTACTTGGGAGACTGAGGCCGAAGGATCACCTGAGCCCAGGAAGTGGAGGCTGTGGTGAGCCATGATTGTGTCACTGGACTCCAGCCTGAGTGATAGAGTGAGACCCCGACTCAAAAAAAAAGAAAAAACTTGGGAGGCTGAGATGAGTGGATTGACTGGACCCGCGGGTTCAAGACCCGCCTGGGCAACTTGGTGAGACCTCATCTCTACAATAAATCAAAAAATTAGCCGGGTGTGGTAGCGCGCACCTGTAGTTACAGCTACTTGGAAGGCTGAGGCAGAAGGATCACTGGAGCCCAGCAGGTCGAGGCTGCGGTGGTCGGGAGCGGCCACTGGACTCCAGTCTGGGCAACAGAGTGATACTCCATCTCAAAAAAAAGAAAAAACAAAGCCAGTCTGGCCAGGCAGTCCCAGTGGGTGGTCACATTTGGGAGCCGGAATACCAGATGTCCAGTTTCCCCACTTTATCCCTTCACATCTGAAAAAGAGGAGAGAGCTAAACTCCTCAGTTCCCTCAGATGACGGATCTAGACAGATGGGCAGTAGGTTTTAAAGGCTCTTCCCTCTTTGTTCTGCCCCTTCCTTCTCTTTCTTTCTCAGATCCTTTCTTTTTTTTTTTGAGTTGGAGTCTCACTCTGTAATCCAGACTGGAGTGTAGTGGCCGCTCCCGGCCACCGCAGCCTCGCCCTGCTGGGCTCCGGCGATCCTTCCGCCTCAGCCTTCCAAGCAGCTGGAACTACAGGCGCGTGCTACCACACCTGGCTAATTTTTTATTTATTGTAGAGATGAGGTCTCACCAAGTTGCCCAGGTGGGTCTTGAACCCGTGGGCTTAGGCAATCCAGTCACCTCAACCTCCCCAAGCGAGGGATTACAGGCTGAGCCACCGAGCCCGGCTCAGATCCTTTCTTGTGGAAGCCTATATAGACCCTTCTTTCTCTCTTCTCCAAGAGCCAGTGAGTGCTAAGAGTTGTCTTTTAGGCTAAGTTACAAAACTGGAGAAGAGGCGTTTATGGATAGTAGTTTATAAAGACAGAGGAGTGTTTGGTAGCAAGTTGGTAGCCAAGGATTTCACTAATTTATTTTTCAGATTTCTTCCCCAAGTTCAGGCTCCAGGAGCAAGATGTCCAGAGGAGACCAACTTCTTTCTACACCCACATGTGCAACCCCTGGGTCTCTCTGTTGGGGGTAAGTAACTTCATCTTGATATCAATTATCCTTGGGACGTAATTCAGATGGAGACATGTGTGTTCTTGGGTGGGGGGAAGGAGAGAGGGAGGACTTAATTAGGAGCATATGATTTAATTGCCTTTTGTATTAGAATTTAGATGAGACTACATTTGGCAAGATTACATTTAATGAGCCGGGCTCGGTGGCTCAGCCTGTAATCCCGCCCTTTGGGAGGCTGAGGTGAGTGGATTGCCTGAGTCCGTGGGTTCGAGATCTGCCTGGGCAACTTGGTGAAACCTCATCTCTACAATAAAAAAAAAAAATAGCTGGGTGTGGTAGCAAGCGCCTGTAGTTCCAGCTACTTGGAAGGCTGAGGCAGAAGGATCACCAGAACCCAACAGGTCGAGGCTGCAGTGGCCAGGAGCGGCCACTGCACTCCAGTCTGGGCTACAGAGTGGGACTCCAACTCAAAAAAAAAAAAAGATTACGTTTAATGAACCACTTATTTTAATCAACGATCTACTTTTAAATTATTATTATTATTAATATAAATTATTATTATTATTACTTTTACGGTGATCAGAAATTGATGAGAGGGGCCAGGCGTGGTGGCTCATGCCTGTCATTTCAGTACTTTGGGAGGCCAAGGTAGGAGGATTGCCTGAGCCCAGGAGTTCAAGATCAGCCTAAGTAACATAGCGAGACCTCATCCCTACAAAAAAAAAATTAACCAAGTATGGTGACGCATCTGTAGTCACAGCTACTCGGGAGGTTAAGATAGAAGGATCTCCTGAGCCCAGGAAATTGAGGCTATTGTGAGCATGCGTGTGCCACTGCACTCCAGCCTGGGTGACAGAGTGAGATCCAAATGCAAAACAAATAAATAAAGCAATTAAAAATTGAATGAGATGATTGTTTCTTAAGGTCTTACAGCTTGCTTACCGTGTGGAAAATCATTAAGTGACTTGCCTTTTCCACTCTGTTTCCATAGGCTGTTGCATCCCTTCTCATCATGTTTGTGATCCAGTGGGTCTATACCCTGGCTAACATGGGTGTTGCTGCCATTGTGTATTTCTACATTGGCAGGGCCAGTCCGGGGCTTCACCTTGGTAAGCAACAGAGCCATTTTGCCACTACTTCCCTCATTCTCTTTAGCATTCACTGAAAAAAGAAAAAAAACATGCTCTGAACATCTATTAAATGCCAACACTGACAGATGTGAATCTCGTTTTCAAGTAGTTTATAGTCTGGAAGGAGAACTGTGACATGCACATGAATGATTACAAATGAAAAATAATAACTTACTGTGAGATTTATAGGACACGTAGAAGTAAAATGGGTAACAATAGCACAAACACTAAGAGGAATGAAATGGAATATACCATTATAAGTTTCATATACTGTATGTTAAGTACTATAATATCACTTGAAGGTAGACTGTGGTAAGTTTAAGATGTATACTATAAACCCTAAAACAAACACTAAGATAATACAATAAAGAGTTTGCCAATAAATGAGATAAAATTAAATGAAAAAGTACTCAAATCAAAATAGGGCAGAAGAAGGGGAAAAATATAATAAAGGACAAATGAGACAAACATAAAAAACAAATAGCAAGATGGTTTTTGTATATATGGCTTATATATATGTTTATATATATATATATATATATATATATATATATAAACCTAGTCCTATCAACAATCACATTAAGTATAGATGGTGTAAACACCCCCAGCTAAATGTCAAAGATTGTCAGATTGAATAGAAAAATATGCTGTCTAAAAGAAACCTTCTTTAAATATAAAGACACAAGCCGGGCTCAGTGGCTCAGCCTGTAATCCCGTGCTTTGGGAGGCTGAGGTGAGTGAATTGCCTGAGACTGTGGGCTTGAGACCCGCCTGGGCAACTTGGCGAGACCTCATCTCTACAATAATAAAAAAATTAGCCGGGCGTGGTAGCGCGCGCCTGTAGTTCCAGCTACTTG